TGTCTGTGTCCTAAGTGTGTTGAAAGTGGTGTAAAACTGTGTCTGTGTCCGTGCCCTAAGTGTGTTGAAAGTGGTGTAAAACTGTGTCTGTGTCTGTGTCCTAAGTGTGTTGAAAGTGGTGTAAAACTGTGTCTGTGTCTGTGTCCTAAGTGTGTTGAAAGTGGTGTAAAACTGTGTCTGTGCCCTAAGTGTGTTGAAAGTGGTGTAAAACTGTGTCTGTGTCTGTGCCCTAAGTGTGTTGAAAGTGGTGTAAAACTGTGTCTGTGTCCGTGCCCCAGGTACCAGCTGTTCCAGGAGGCGGTGGACCGACTGGTGAGCGAGTCGCTGCTCATCCGACAGACGCTGGGGCTGCCTGAGCGAGAGCAGGATGACCTTGACGGGGATACAAGTAAGTTCACCTCTGACCTCTTTGTCTCCTCGGGCGAGGGGGAAAAAAGACATGGGGGAAAAAAACGAAACCACCCCCCAAAAAAAAAACAACAAAAAAAACAACAACAACAAGCAGTTTAGCATCACGCTGAAAGGGAAATCTTCGGGATTTGAGAAATCTTTTCGTTACGTAGGAGTTTTGCTGTGTGTGTCTGTTAGACATTGTGTGTTTCGCTGTGTGTGTGTTTCGCTATTTCGCTATGTGTGTGTCGCTATGTGTGTGTTTGACTGTGTGTGTGTTTGACTATGTGTGTGTTTCGCTATGTGTGTGTCTGACTATGTGTGTGTTTCGCTATGTGTGTGTTTGCTATGTGTGTGTTTCGCTATGTCGGTGTTTGGCTTTGTGTGTGTTTCGCTATGTGTGTGTCCGTATGTGTGTGTTTCGCTATGTGTGTGTCCATATGTGTGTGCTTCGCTATGTGTGTGTGTTTGCTATGTGTTTGTTTCGCTATGTCGGTGTTTGGCTTTGTGTGTGTTTGGCTATGTGTGTGTTTCGCTATGTGTGTGTCCATATGTGTGTGTTTCGCTATGTGTGTGGTTTAGACATTGTGTGTTTCGCTATGGGTGTGTGTTAGACATTATGTGTTTCGCTATTTGTGTACTAGACTTTGTCTGTTTCATTGTATGTGTGTTTGCTATGTGTGTGTTTGACTGTGTGTGTGTTTGACTGTGTGTGTGTTTGACTGTGTGTGTGTTTGACTGTGTGTGTGCTAGATGTTGTCTGTTTCACTGTATGAGTTTACTAGACTGTGATATCTTTGTCTGATAACAGTGAAAGAGGAAAAAAGCCACAAATGTATCCATTCGTTCTAAAAATAAAAGAGGGAAGGGTGATTCTCTGTTAAAAAATAACAAAATTAAGCAACTCCAAAAATGACTTCATCTTTTTGTTGAAAAGAAAAAATGTAAAAATCTCAAGAACTTCCGTACCTTTTTTGTCTGACAAAGAACAAAGGGGAAAAACTGAATCCTTTTCTCTGGAAAAGGAAAGAAGGAAAAAGTGGACCTGTTTGACTGTACATCAATGTGTGTCATGACGCGGTGGAATCAGGCTCTCGTCCATTTCTACTCCTGTAGAGTTATTGGTATCATCTTAAAACTTGTTCATTTGTCTTTCTTTGTATGAAAAAAAATTCCATTTATCTTGAATACATAATGTCGAGATATTTGCGAAGGAAGGAGGTGGGGTCACCTGGTTTCAGAGGTAAAATAAGTGAGAAAATGGCCGCCAAAGATGAGTTAGTTCCTTAGCTTGAGAGTCCATAAAACTGGGTAAAAAATGTGCGTTTTTCAGTAAAATCCACACAGAAATGACCGTGTTGTTTACTTTGATGGGCATGGAAGATGGTGAGCCAAAAAATGACAATTCTACAAAAGTTCACAAACCTGCGAAAAAATGCCAGTTTCTTCACTTAGATTATTTTGACGAGCGCCTGATTCCACCGCGCTGCCTGGACAATAAAAACTTTTGTGGTGGGTGAGATCTGGCAGCTAGAGTTCTTGATGTGTTTGTGTGCACATTAATGTGTTTGTACATGTGTGTGTGTGTGTGTGTGTGTGTGTGTGTGTGTGTG